TTCTTAATATCTATGATTTAAAAGATCTAATCAATCGATTGCGGTGTCAATGTCATATTACCCCCCACGTAATCCCCGATCGTCAACTGATCGTTGTGGATATCGAACCGTGAAAACGGAAAATCTCTCCTAACGATGAACTGCGAAATACATGTTAGCAGTTAATTTAAAAATTCAAACGTTTTGATAACAATAAATTAAAACAGCATATCGTTCCTTTTCAACTCTATAATACATCGGTATATGATTTCGATAAAACCAGTTTGAAAAAAATGTAATGCTCTTCAAGTATTGGTTCTTTATTAAGTAATCGTACGGTTGCGACGTTATTGTAGTTAGTTCCGTGTTACCGATATCGAGTGCTTGGATGTTACCGTTACCTTCTCATCAATATAGTTTTTTTTTTTTTTTTATTAAAACTATTAGCCAATTTTTAGTCGAAAAATTATGTTTTTATCAATAACATCTACAGCTCACGTTGTATCTATTCCATACGGTATGCGTTTTCTGGAGTAAAAAAAAAACATAAACAATTATGAAAAACATCGACGCCGCGCTTTACGCTTCCTGTGCGATAACCATTCTTGACGTGCGGCCAGATGGAATTCGTATTTCGTATACAGTGGCGGACCACTTTCGCCCGCCCATCACGTTTGTCCTGAAGCTTTCGGGTTAGCCTTGAATGATTATATCACGGGGAAAGAAAAAAAAGAGAACAACGAAGATACCTGCACTGCCTCTCCCCCCCGGGGTAAAACGTGTGTGTGTGTGTGTGTGTGTGTGTATCATTTTTAAAGAATATGTATTATAATAATATAATGTGTACGATAATAATATTCAGAGGAGAGAACTTGAAGTACAACCGGGAGAAAAAAAAAACCGCACGCACACGTATGCCTTTTGCCCGTTGCTTACCCGTACACGTACACTCGTAAATACAATACGGTGTACACGAGCGCGGAACAACGTACGGAACAAATAACCCGCGGAGGTGTCCGACCCGCGGATTTCCCATTGTTGCTCGTTGCCGCCGCGTCGCTGCCGTTGGGCGACTCGCGCGCGACCGTTTAGACAACATTTAAGATCGTAATCCGAGTTAAATACGTCCGCGAGCTACGCTCCCATCGCACCGGTGCGTACCTGGTGCAGCAGCAGCGGCCGACACAGCAGCGTGGCCGTGTGATATCGGCCGACCGCATCGGTCGCGTGTGGGCTTCCGTGGGAGCTCTGTGCGCGCGCTCGTTCCTAAAAAAAATGATACGTTAATACGCTCGCGGAGCATTGGCGTCGTTACTTTTGTTCCAGTAAACCTATTTCCAGACATCGTTCCGAGGCGCAGCTTGTGCGTTTTTACGTTGCAACCGAAACGTTGTGCCACGTCCGTCATTCGTGCTCGAAAATCAGTACGACGAAGTCGATGAAATCGATTAACATCGTCAACGAAGACGATGAATTCGAATCGGCGTACAAGTAACACTTAATTAATATTGTGTGTATGTGATTGTTTGGTTCAAAATTTCATTGTTGGACATTGCGTGAATTACGCGTTCTCTTACTGTTTTCGTTTGCTCGCCGCGTGTGTTCAACGGTTTAATATTTTTCGAGTGAATCATCCGAATCGTCCATCGTAAAGAGGCAATCTTGTCGAATTAACAAAAAAAAAAACTCGATTTGTACGCACGCTTGTACGTACAAGAACTCGAGTTTTGTCTGGTGCCGTGTATATTATAATGGGTACATTGAAACACTATGTCAAATTCTTTAAACGTGTTGCCGCCGTGCGCCTCTGCACGTTGATGGCAAGACCGATATTATTCGACGACTGCAGCAGTACGCGTGCAAACTGCTATTATTATTATATCCCTAAAGTTTTTTGTTTTAATACTTTTTTATCTCGCATCGATGTAATGTTGGTAACCTATCATCATCTTTAGATGCGAGGCAGGTGAAAATTCGTCGTGGGTTGATATCGTTTTAACGACGTTTTCTGCCGTGGTTAGAAGAGCCACAAATTATTTTCCAAATTTAGTAATTATTTCTTTTATTAATATCCATATTATTTTTGTCTTAAAACGGTAAACGATGATTGACAAAAATGATGTTTATAAAAAGATGAAAAGTTATAATTGCAAATCAGAATATCCAAAAAATGTATAACCATGTTTGGCTTTATAAGACCCAAATTTAATTAATAAACTTTGTTTAATATAAATTAAATTCTCACAAATAATCCCAAATAATTAAATCTGAATAAATATTGATCATTTTCATGCGAAAACGCACAGTAAATTGTTGACCAAAAGAAAAGCTAAAATAAGTATTTAAATATAAAAAAAATTCTCAATAAATAAACATTTGTATATACTTGTGGAATACTTACGATATAATCTTTTTATTTTTAATCTTTTTAATCCACACGATTTACGGTAAAACATAATAGAGTATTTATTTATTTTTTTTGTACAATGATGCGCATATTTTATCGATTAACACAAAATTAGAAATTTGATTTTTAAATATATCATTCCAAACGAAATGCTAAGGTGTTATTCAAATTTAAACTGCACTCGATTGACTGACCAACACAAAGTGTATGCGCAGTACGAATTAAAAACATGTCTCTGTTGACTAGAATATTGTTGTCTTTTTGTCGTGCAATACCGTTGCGGAGGAAAAGAAACAAAAAAAAAAAAATAAAATAAAAATAAAAAAACAGAGAGAGAGTGAAGCGTACGTATTTATTACATGATCTTTGTGGCGTGCGCGAGCTCGTCGCCTGCGTACCGGTCGGACAGTCAATTGTCGCGTTTTCCTCTACAGCACACACTTAATAATTTTATATTATATTTTTCTATACGTGCCCGCGCAGCACGTGTTTTAGCCCCGTTTTCTTCCCGTACGTCCAGCAACAGCAGCCCATTGTCGGCGACCACTTTATAACGTCAAACCGGTATACACACGTCGTTCGGTATATCTATCTGCGACGACCGCGAGTACGTTGTATACCTATGCGTACGCTTATATTGTACCTATACGTAAACATAGCGCGCGTGTTATACGCGATGTTATGTGTGCTCGCGCACCAACAAGGTGAACGACCGACCCGTGATGGTGCGGTGGTATAGGCTGATCGTTCGGGGGAAAAAAAAGTAAAATAAATAAAAAAACAAATCAAAAGCGTTTAGAAAACGAAATTCTCCAAGATATCTTATCGAGTGATTCCTCTTATTCCCGAGGGAAATCGCTGCATAGTGAGCGTGTATAGTGTCGAATATGAGACGGCGGGTGGGCTGCGCTGTCACCGCTACAGAAAAAAAAACCCACCAAAACCGTTCCGCATGTAATATTATATTTATATTTAACCCCCCAAGTCCGTTTCACTAGAAAGACAACGATAAAACAGTGAGTGAACGATTCGTTATTGAAAAAAAATAGCTAACAACAAAATTAATTTTTAAACGATTATAATATGTCATATTTTGTCGTGCTATGTAATAATCTTCACGATTCTATCGCATTCTTCAAGTTTTTCGTCCTCTAGTAACAAAATTTTATAAATAGATATATGTGTATTAATATGTGTAATATGTATACGATTTTGTATAATTTCGAATTGCAATAGTATAGAAACTCTTGTTATGATTAATTTACAATAAAATAATAAAAAATTAAAATTATTAAGTGGTTGATACTCCTAAATTGATATATGAACGAAAAAAAAAATGTATACTTATCTATATATAAATAAATAAATAAGTGGTTAGTTTGGAGTATTATTATTATTTTCATATATGACTGTTATTTATTATAAATAGTTTATAATACTCCAGTTACATAATATATTTGTTTATTTATTTATACATTGATTAATTTATCTTTTTAGTTGTAAATCGAACTGTGTCGGGTGTGAAATTATGACAGTATGTTTTCCGTGCATGATTTAAATAAGCATAGATATTATTATTTATTATATATTATATAGTGATTCCTATAGTGCAGTGCTACTTTAGAAAAACAAACAGATAAGAAAAAAAATTAATAAATTTCTCTACGGGTAATTAAAAATAAAATAATTATTTTGGAAATTTGGATTAATCGTATGTGATAAATATTACTGAAAGTTATAAATACAAGACAGTGTATTCTTGTAAGTCAAGAGAGATCCGTAACAGACAAATGTGAACGGCTTGCATATATTTTAACGCACCATATTTTTTTTTTCATTAAAAAACTAATTTAAAATATAATGAATTTTGCTCAACTCAAGACATTTGTGCGCACATGACAAGATAATTAATTTCAATATTTTTGTACAATTTTACTTTGTGTTTTCTCATTTGTTGTGGTCTGTTTTGCCGATTTATCTATTCATTCTTGTATACTCGTATATGCAATAAAGCATATTATTTTTAAAAAGCTCAATTTACGCGTTACAATGCTGTATAGTATAATTAACCGAATAGTTCACCGTGATTCAATTACAAATCGATATTTACGTATCTTATTTTATTTAGTTCAGGATTATTTAGTTTAAAGCTCTTGAGGGAAAGGGTAGGTAAATCAACGTTCATTTTTTCTCACATAAAAAAAATGATATTCAAATAAACTTGTACCAAGAATTTTTCTTTACATTAACGTCAATGATTGCAAATTATGTCAGCCGTAAGAAAGAAAATTGAATTGAATATTACATCGAAGTCAGTTTCAAACTATAGCGAGCGGTGTGCGTTGAACGAAAGTTAATAAGAACAAACATAAATAGAAGGAGTGTGGGGAATAGTCTTTATGGTGAGGAAAAGAGAAATAGAGGGAGAGAGAAATGGAAAAACAGAAGAGAAAAATTCTTAATTGCGTCATGTAGCGATAGAGAGCAAAAACAATCCACGACCGTTAGAAAAATCAATGCCTTTTTTTTGTTATTTTTTTTTTTTTTTTATATAAATACTCGCGATATTAATAATAATGATTACTTTCGTCTTTGACTTTCAGAAGTCTGAACGTGACATGTAAATAAATAAGATTTCCTGCAGTCGTTGGTGCGGAGGGAGACGTAATTTCACTTGTATTTTTGCATCAAGTAATAATAATAATAGTAATAATAATAATAATAATAAAAAAATCTGGTAATAATGACACAAAGGCGGAAATGTTTAAAGCAGCCGTGTATGGCGCGTGCGTCAAATGTCAAGGGACAATCAACAATCAAGCTACACGCACACAGGTTATGGTACATATATAAGTATATATGTATTATAATAATAATTTAGGGGTTTGCTGCTGCTGCTGCTGCTGCCGTGTACGTCGGAGTACTACTGCCACTGTATGTACATAGCCTTTATCGGTTCCATGCGTTCTTTGCAACATATTATTACATTGACTTTTTTCTTTTTTTTTATTTGTTATCAAAGTAGAAATATAATAATAATCAACACGCCCATTTTTCGAAATGTGTCCAAACCAAACTAGTTCCTGGACATTGTCCGGGCGCGCACCGGTCATAATTTCAGACCACGTATCCGTGTAAGTATGTGTGAGTGGGCAACCAGTATTTTGAGCTTATTTGTCATCCATTCTAGTTTGCATGTAAAACACGAGTACTCAAATCATTCATGTTGGTTCTTTTAATTTTTTTATCTTTAATTAGTTTCGTATTGCGGGTATCTTTAACTATGGTTTGAGAATGATGTCTCAAGTATATGCACTAACAAATGTTTAGATTTACTTTAAAATATTGTATAAATTTAAAGATGTAGGTATATGATATACAGAAATTTCGGGTTGAAACATCGTATTATCAAAACCTGGTTGTTTGTCATCTCATGGTTCTGTGTTGGTTCCGTTGCAGATATTTTTTTTATAAACTGCGTGAAATTGATTCGTGTTCAAAATATACCTACTTATAGTGTTATTGCTTTATGCTGAACTGATGATAATGATAGAAAGAGATGATAATTGCAATTAAAATTGTGTCAAGTCATTGTATTGACGTATGTATCCAATTATGGTTTCGATGACGACAATGGTCACTAGTCGTACTGAAAATTTATTGAGATACCATAATTATCATTGTGCATTAGTACATTAGTACATAATATGTATAATATATTATATATCACAGTCAAAGCCCTGTGGTTGGACGATTATACAAGTTAGACTGATTAAACCATACGTATTATATCCTTTAAACTCTATAAAACGTGTGTATATATAAATTATCGAAAAAAGCATAAATTTGTTTACTTTATAATGTAATTTAAAAATATAAAATTATTAGTAAAAATAACAAAAATAAAAGTTATAATATTAGTATCCAACGTAAAAGTAGTTAACATTTTAGTTTTCAGCATTTATTATTAGTATTTATCTATATTTTTCTGATTAAATGTATACGCATACTATTGTGTGTAATATAAAACCGTAAAAATGAAAACAATATATGACAAATCAGATGCAAGTATATATTCATAGTGATTAATTTGTCAAACTTAAGATTTTTTATCATTCAAGCCCTAAAAGTACTCTATGCATTACGAATAGGATGATCGAACAAATTTATCTCGCACGAGTCACACGAAGAGAGTTACTATTCATTATTATACCTAATATTATAATACTTTATTGGCGTTATTTCTCTAATGGCAATAGTATTACGGATGGTACCTATTCACTAAGTATTATTCCACTCATAATATAATCACTGGAATATTACTCGTCGACCGAAGTGGAATGTAATATATTATTGTTGCAAGTATGGGTAGGTACAATAAATACTATGTGGGAAAAACAGACGGATTGCATTCGACGCTCGATTTACAAATGACGCGGTCGCGGAGAACATTGTTTTGGTCGCCGTTGATGTGAAAATAATTGAAAAAAAAATATAGGTAATATGTAAAATAAAAAACTGGTAGAAAAGGCATGATTGTGCATTTTTTTTTTTTTTACTTTGCTCCCCTTCGTAGCGATAGTGTATTGCTAATAACACAGTCATAACTTCATACAGATATATATATTATACAGATCCACGGTAAGGTCGGTAACAAAACCAAGGAGATCGGTAGTTAAACACTAATAGAGCATATATTTCTCTCTTTCTCCCCCTTTTTTACTCATATAACTACACGGTTTGTTATTATTATTATAACTATACCGATGATGATGACGATGATGATGATTATAAATGCATAGTGGTGGAAGGGAAGATAGTGTGCCAAGCATCACGTGCAAACACGTAGTGCCTGACAGACAAGGAGTGCTGGCTGGTGGTGGAGTAGTGGTGGTGAAAAAGGGTTTCTTCATCATTCATTATTGTGTAAACTATGCGGTGGTGGTTCGTAACGCCATAGACACATGTTATGGTATAATATGGGATGCGCGGACAATGCAGAATGGATAAAAAATGCATGGTGAAAACCTATTGACGGAAAAAGAAAAAGTATAAAAAAATACATAAAATAATAATGAAAAACCACGCCGCAGCACCCGGTTAATGGGAAAACTCTTCCTCCGCGCCACGCTATTGCGCCGTTGCCAGACAAAAGCCACTCGAAATTTGTTTTGTTAAAGCTCGGTTTATTTTTCGAGTTGTGCCTCCACGGAAAATAATAATAATAATTAAAAATTGTTGTCGGCCACTTAAGAATGCGTATATAACGTCGCTGCTGCTGTTGCGTCGTCGAGAAAAGAAAAGAAAAAAAGTCGTTTAGAACAAGGGTTATACATAATATACTTCATAATAACATATTGTTTTGTTATGTTTTTTAATTGTAATCGTGGTAACGATGAATATGCAGTCATTATTTTATAATGTACGCGGCTAGTACATCGTATACAGCACACAAAACTATTCTGCTTATAAACCTTGCATACGTAAAAATAAATTTTCAACTCTTATAAAAGTTTTTTTTTATTATTGTTTGGAATAAGAATAGGAATATATATATATATATATATATATATGTTACCAGCAATATGGATAATCCGGTATTTTGCAAAATTCCTAGGCATTATACAAAACACCAAAAATCACTCGGAAATATATATAATACGAGCTTTACTTAGGTATTATGTATAATGCTAATTGTGGAGTAGGCAATATGAAGAAAACTAACAAAATTGGACATCCCTCATTACCAACGACTTTACTTATCGTTTATCATAAATGTGCGTTCACGATTTAATGCAATAAAGATTAATATTTTTTTACTACCTATTATAATAATAATTCTGAGATACAATATTGAACGTACTAATAATTTTATTACAATATCGTAATTTTTTTTCGTCATTTTCGTGTCTCGTTTTGGTGTTGCAACTGTAGTATATGCATACGATTTATATGAAGTCAAATTGTTATAACAAACTACAATTTTTTTTTTTTTAAATTTAACCATTAATACTAGTTTTTTAAATGATGAATAGTGTAATAAGTTGATAAAAATTCAATTCACAAGAATTGGCCAAGGGTTTTTAAAATGTGTTTGTAAGTCCAAGTGTTAAAATAAAAAGTGTATTTGCCCTAAAAATAATATTTCATGCGCTTCAAAATGTCACTTTTCTACAACATGTTATAATAAGTAAATAGTAGTTTAAGTAAAATATTTATATAATAGTAATTATATAATAATAGATAAAAATTAAATGTTGTCTATAATATGAGTAATAATGTATAATAATTATAAGAATTTTAATGTACTATAACATATAATAAAATGTTTTGTACTTTGCCTAAAAAAAAATTGGCATTTTGCATAATGCCTAGGTCTTTTATAAAATAATATTGAAAATCATATGTTTTACTTTGCCTAAAATGGGTCGGCAATTTGCATAATGCATTGGCATTTTGCATAATACCTGAATTATCCATATTGACAGAAACATATATATATAACAATAATTGTATAATCATACTGGATGTCTGCAAACGAACTGAGTCACAATATAATCTTTGACAAATTGAGTCCCGGGTTATTTTAGGGTATATGCCAGGGGTGGCCAAATCACGGCTCGCGAGCCGCATGCGGCTCTCGTCACAGTCGTATGCGGCTCGCGGTCTTATTTACAAAAACCAAAATATTTAAATTTTTTTTGTATACATTTATAAAAAAATGTTTTTATTGTATTTATTTAAGGCTTTAGTATTATAGTGGATAGAATATAGATTAAATCAAACAAAAAAAATTAATTAATATGAATAATAAATTAAAAAATTAAACATTAAGCTAATTTTGTTTGCGTGGTATTTTTTTCGTGTCTACTTTTTTAGTAAGCTTCTTAAGATCTGGTTGAATTGATGTAAGAGCAGTTCTTAGTAATTCTGTAAGATGATCATCAGTCAAATTTGAACGATATTTTGATTTAATTATTTTCATTGTTGAATAAAGTGATTCACACGAATACGTCGTTCCAAAAATTGATATCAATTTTACCGCACAGTTTTTAATATTTGGGTATTTTAATATAGAAATATGCTTCCAAAATTCCAATATAGAGGGACAATTGTTTATAAACTGCTTAAGACCTTCATCTTCTAATAACTCCAAGAGTTCTATTTCGAGATCCGCTTTATTTGTGATGATTGGATGTGATAATGGACATCCCTTTTCAATGACATTAACCAAAAATGGATTTTCTAAAAATCCGAATGAGGGTTTTAATGCCTTTAGGTCTCGAAATCGTTCTTCGAAGTCAGTAAATAGAAATTCAAGTTTAAGTACATAGTCGTCACAATTAATTTTTATTTCTGATTCTATCAGGGACGCTTCTATTTTTTCTAAACATGAAAAGTGAGTAAAATTGTTTGATTGTAAATCTCGTATGAAAAGTTTTAGTTTATTTTGAAAACTAAATACTTTTTGCCGTAGGTCAATTAATAAATATTAATAATTTTTGAATAATTAAAGAAATTTAGGTAATAATGAAATAACATTCTAATTCTCATATATGTTTCATAGTGTACATTTAACAAAATGGTTATAAATTAGTAAATGTTTAGATGGACAGAATAAAATATAGCATTGATTTTCGAGCGAATGATTAACATCTATTAGTGATCCTCGTTAATGAATATGTAAATGAGGCCCAGAGTAATAAGTCATGAGTATGACAATAACATATATTTTTAATGTCGCATAGCATAATTTCCGCTATGTTTAGAATCTAGATGGTTGATATTATATTTTACTTAAAATAATACTCGGACTCAATTCGTATACTATTAGTTTCCTAACCTGTGATTCATTTAGTGTATCTCCCGTATGTACCTGGGATTCAATTAGTATATTCATTTTTTCTCGTTTAGGTATAGGAACTCAATTAGTACACAGCGTATTGGATTATGATAACGATTTTTTTTTTACCATAGTAGCGAATTGCACATTAACTACTTGTACAATTGTATGGTTTAGTAAAATATTATATAAATGACTTATAAAAGTAATATTATTACAACTTATATTTTATTTGGTTTTTATTATGATAACTATACTATTAAATAAATCTTATACATCATATTTAAAGTGATTTTATGAGTTTATGCATTTAATTAATAATATAGTAATAATTTTACTATTAATAAATACAAATACTATGCTATTATATTGTACATTGTAAATATTATTAAATATAATATAATTTATTTATAATATTTATTGAAGTCTGGAATCATTGACTATAAACAAATAATAACGTTAAACAATAGGCTTTTCGGACATTTCTAGACAAAGAGAGGAATAATTTGTTCACCAATTTACACGGTGAAAAAAATTTCACTTAAAAATTGTTTAAAAGAAGATAGAGTGATAGAGAATGCTGTGATAGAGAAGAAAAACTATTAAAATGGGCGCTTAAGTTAATTATAATCTACCGTACGTCATTATCATTATAAATTCCTTGATTGGTGACATTAAGTCTATAAAATCTATTATTCTTCTTAACGAAACGCTACTATTTTCATCTCGTTTAATATACATTGTCTCCGATCGATCAGTGTCAAAAATAAATCATAAGTAAAATACCTATGCTTAAAACAATATAACAACTTATAATTGAACCCGCGAGTCCTAATGCGCCTTGTTCTCTGCATTGCTTGCTGCAGTTATGATGCATTTTTAATAACATGGTGCTACGAAGGGGTTATAAATATATTATCGTATGTACATAGTTATCACGTTGATATAATTTTTTATTTTTTTGATTTGTTCTTCTTTTCCCTATGTATAGTATCAATTACAATAGTAATAAAAGCAGTAGTAGTATGGAAGATTGATTGTTTCATAATTATTGCATGCGAACTACTGCAGATATGAAATGGACGCGCGCGCTCGTATGGAATTCTCGAGCAATGAAATAATCGCAAGACAAATATTTATAAAAATAAAAAAAAAATGTCCTCTCGTAGTTTATGTTTATACACACATATAAAGGTATATGGAGTATAAAACGTCGAACACCAGTTAATTGATTTACAATGCGCGAGTGGATTAAGCCATTAGCCGCCGCGTTTATATACGTTTATCGTCTTGGGCTGTGCAACATCGAGCATTCGTCGTCTTTGCAGCTACGATGTATATTAACTCGGAAGGACGCGTGTGGGCATCGCATATTTATTTCTATACACATAATATTCTTATTATTATTACGTACATATACGCCTTTTATTATATCACGCTATGAGAAAACGCGCAGACAATTTAGTATTTTATACGTACGCGACAACGTCATAATCGGCAATAGGATAATAATGTATAAAATTTATAATGTGATCTTTTGCTTTTTTTTTTTTTATTGAAAATAACACACGCACAAAACACATAAATAAAATGTATTATACCCATCACCTGCCGACTCTCGGCCGTTTATTGTTATTTTTTATTATATTTTATTTTTTGCTTTTAATGAGCTCTACGAATAACAACTCGTTCTAAAACGAGTACACTACAATAATATTAATAATGATCTCCGCGCGCCACCATCTCCATTCGAATAGGAAGAGATCCGTTATCCACGAAATACAATATATAACAAGTCGTCATTTTCGGGGAGCAACATTGTTTTTTATGTACAATACATGTGTACATACATAAAAATAAATAATTATATTTTTATTCGAGTACTTATCACTTAGGCATATACACATAGTGGTGATGGGTGTGAATCTTCACCACATAAATTTATAATATGTGACCTTATAGTTTTATCTTGGAAAATAATTTTGAAAAAATAAATTCGTATCCAATTTAAAGACTAAATATTGAATTTTTGTGATAGCTGTTGAATTTCGTAATTCAAATGTTTATTTTGCTGGTTAGTTTCATGAAATCACCAACACCATTACCGAATATTCAGTGAAACATACGAACTAATTGAAGGCATTTATAGGATACGAGTGCCTACTGTTTTTATTTCAGTTCTATAGAAACAGCTTTAATTATGCTAATTTAATTTATTTTATGTTTAAGTTGCGGGTTGGGATATTTCTGCTGTTAACGAAAGCTTCTTTAAAAATAAAAATGATCAATTTTGGTCAGGTATTATTGGTAAAGTTTGTAAATTATTGGGATAAAATAATGAGTTCATAATATCAATTGTTATGGACATGTGATTAATACGTGTTCCGTATTTTTTTTAACGTAGTAAAATATATAATCGTAGACACCGCAACCACTGTGGTTCATTACTACGTCGTAATTGCATAAAATCACAATATTAGCGTATTGCTTTTTTTCACCACACACGAGAGACCGTACGCCAAGAGTTTATTGTTATTTTACGAAGCGAAAGGATCAGCCACGCACCGTCCGCCACCGCAAGCATCGTATTAATTTTCGTTTTTATTTTCGGAAGTCATGATATGCGTTTATGGACGGGAAAAATCGATTATTGATCGCCCAGCAATTTTTATCATCAAATCGTGATGTACATCTCTACCAACTCCGCCGCTATCACGCGTATAAATACGTGTATAAACTTGTTCGTGGACACTTTCGTGTTATTATCTGTGTTTACATCATACTATAATTATTACTTACCTGTACGTGATGGACCTCTATGGATCCCCAATAATATATTGTATTAATTGTTCTCGATGAGTATTAATATTTATTTTTTGATTAGTAGGTTACAATTATTTCGTTTTTCTTCTTCATACCATATGTGACAGTCGAACAATCGTCATCGAATTAAATTTTAATCAAACTACCCCGTGTTGATAATGTATTAATTTTATTATTTTCTTAACCTTTACGTCACATTTTCATAATATGTTTATTGATACATTGGTACGCTCACTAATATGTTGTATGTGTGTAATGACACCTATTTATATTTCACAAGGATTTTATTATTATACATTTGTAATTACAAAGGAATAAAGAGATAGAATTTTCGTATTTTAAATTGAAATACATATTATTCTTAATCGTATTAGGTATGTTTTTAATAATTAATTACGTTTGTTCTCAGACGTAGTGTTATTTTTCAAAATAAATTATATAATTATTATAAACGTATACTCAACTTGTCAGGATACATAGATGCGTATTTATATGCGCGCGTGTTTCTCTTTTAAATTTACATTAAATGTTTGATTTCAAAAAAATTTTATTGCATATGTTCTCAATGTCTATCAAGTCTGTCAAGTATCCTTTCAAATTAATAAAGACGCATTATATTTTCTTTCAACAGTAAATAAAAATTAATAATAAGTTTGATCATTGAATATATTTATCAGTAAAATATTTGTCATATTTATGTGCGGGTACGTTTTCGCTACCCACGCGTATAAAGAATCCAGAAGTTATTAATGGTGTTTTTTTTTTTTTTAATTACAAGACGTCCATAAAAATATAATATAATTATTAGTTGTTCGACGTTTATCCACCCACGCCACCCTATTTCTACACCATTGCATTTACGTGTAGGCTATTGAATTTCAATTTGAATGTTCGCGATTATAATATACTTTTATTACTCCGTGGTTTTCGATTTGCTTGTTTTAATTCTTCTTTTTAAGATTCTAAAATGTTAATGAATGTAATAAATAATTTTAAATTAGTTAAATAATTTAAATTACTAGTGTAAATTACACGTACAGGTATACAAGATAAAAAAGTAATTTTATCTGAGTAGTTCGAAAACACATTCTGTTGGAATATGATTTATTCTCGAGAGGAAAATGTAATATATATATATATTATATTCGTATATAATAACTCTACATATTGGCACTTTTAATTAGTTTTTTGTGTTGATTTTTATTAATTGGTATTTTTAATAAGTAGTAGTAGTAGTAGTTAATTTAATAGTATAGTTAATGTTGTCGAATTAATCCTATTAAATTGTTTAAGTAGTGAAATTTTACAGACTATGACGTATAAAACTTTTTAATTACATATTGTGATGTATTATGCGTCCTATTGAAATTATTAAAGCCACTATAAATGTAGTCAGAAAATTAACTGGTATACTCCATAGTTTATAAAATGTATTATGTATATTTTTTTTAAACAATAATTCAGTTCATACGTCGTTTTCAAAGTTGTGTATTAGTCTTATTACTCTAGTATGTACATGTAATATTTTACATATTCATGAAAAACATCGTTCTCTAGAGAAGTGCTTCAAAATTTTATGCCCGTCTAATTTTAAGTTTGCGAATTTAAATTAATAATAAACGAATCAAATCGATTGATATTTAATAATGTGTGAAATTATCAAACCACATTTCTTGAAATTATATAGTCTCTACAAATATACTCACCGATAAACTTGTATTGTACTCTTATATAGGACTATATAACATTTACGCTTTTCGAACGTACAATAAAAGTGGTTTCTTGAATTCTTGTTGACATTTTACAAATTTCTATTTCAGAAATAACACACTGTCGAAAAAGCATTCATTGCCACGAAAAATGACTGTAACTGTCAGAATCATTCAATATCGCTCAACACTACACAAACGATCAGGTAAGATATGTTTATTTTTGGTTAACTGTTCTAATACGAATGAAAATATTTATCTTCGGATCTTCCAGCGTTCGTATATATAAATTTATTTATGTGTGTGCACGAGCGTGTGTGTATGTATGTGTACATACTTCTCTCAAGGGACTTATATTAATCTTACCGTAGAACATATATTAATTCCTTCGGTTATTTTTTTAAACTTTTCACGTGCGTCCTTCTTCATCTCTTCTCTGCCGTCACCTGTAAATAGACGACAGTGTACCAATCCTTTCACCATGTGTGTCTTCTTTACAAGTGCGTGTGTATGCGTACGCGCTCACGCACATTAATATTTTAAACTATAAACCAGTTAAGGAGCGCGTGGAATTCGACTCCGAACGCACAACAGTTGGCATGGATTTCGGATTTAAACGGCGGAAGTAGTGTTTTATTTTTGTATTCGAGTAATGGTTGTGTAAAAAAAAATTAAGAATAAAAAACAATTTGTTTTTTATCATAAAATAACGCCCTTTTCCCCTTGTTCTTCGTCTCTCAATTGCTTCGTTTCCTAACTAAAGTTGTCAAAAAAAAAAAAAAAAGTGTATAAAACCCGTTACGTTTCGTTAGCTGTATATGATGACGATATGTCTACTACTACACACCCCAATGTATCATTCATAATCCCGTGTTAACAGACTCCGTTATCCATAAAGTGATTATACGATCTACGACTTAATGCGCACACGCGTTGTGCCATGGCTAGAAGTCGTCAGGTGATTATTTTAATTTCTTCATTTTTTCCCTAGAGTAATTATATATTTTTACGCTCTACGTGACTATTCATGTAATAAATGCATTTTTTGTTTTTATGTAGGTATAATAATTCTTGTCGTATTTATATAATTATAAAGAAAAATAGAATTAAATCCTGTTGAGGAAGCACAAATTCGTGTCTCGAAGCCAACAGTAAGAACTAATTAAATTAATTAATAAGCATCAAACGAGCACTATGATTCGAATATAGTTAACCAATTAATTATTATATAATATCGAAATTTTTTTTTCTAAAACGGAATCGGCTTGCTTCATAGGTTTTTGTCTGATAAACAAATATTTTATTCACAATGGTACAGTGGCCTTTTCCTAAAGTATTAATCGCTAAAGTATTTGAAATAGTTTACTAGAAGAAAATAACGGTCAAGCGAACGCATAATTGTACTAAATTAGACGTTTGGCAAAAGTTTGATACCAATAATCACTATCAGATAGTAAACAAATAACAATAGCAGTAGTATATAAGAATTCATCTAGTAAATGTTCGACTAACCCAATAATTGTGTGATCTATCCGGAAAATTAGAGAGTTAGAGAGTGGGAAGTAAATATAATGTACTGCATATGTATTTATACCATAATATATATATATTGTAGATTGTGATCCGAAGTCTTCAATCCACTACTCTAAAGATAGTTTAAAGAAAGATGTCTTTAAAAAAATAAATCTAATAAATTGTTCGTCCGTATCAAAGGAATGTTTAAAAATCGTCCATAATTTATAAAAGTATTTTTAAACGAGTACATTTTACAAGTATATTATATTATCTACTCAGTCAGATTTTTTTAATTAGTTATATTTTGTTCATCACAAAAGTAACTTAAATTTACGTACTTTAAAAATTATATTTTTCTCATAGTATATTATCTATATTTCAAAAAATATTTAGGAATTTCAAATGCAAATATAGAATTACCGATTATTGTAATTATATCCAAAACATTCTACTGTTGACAAATGACAAACTATACCGTATTGTAACTATAAAATTAAATGTATTCGCTCTAATAAATTTTTAATCACGAAAGTGATAGTAAAATAAAAATACCCTCATAATATATTTTAAATTTAATGATCTTTGTTTAATATCATCAGAGTGTACACGATAGAATCCTTAGTGTAAACTTGTTAGCAATTTTTTTTTAAAGTATTTATACATGTGTACATTGACGCAAAGTAATAAACTAGCGTATAATTTATGTACATAAATATCAATGAAAGTACACTATGAAATTATTCATATTCTTTTTGTCCATGCCAGATATTTCTTAGTCGTCTTTATAGCTTACAGTTATTTCTGTCACTGAGGCCTGTCTATGTTACTGCCAAAATAAAAGTGCCCCGCTTAGCATCCGGGAAGGCCACAACAATATTATTATTATTATTATTATTGTTATTATTTTTAATATATTATTATTCCCATACGAAGACGTACAAAGAGTGCATTTTAAAGCCGTTATTAAAATATCGATGGCCTTCTGCCACTTTCTAAATTTTTGAATCTTACCTTACACTTTTACGGTTAAATCACACAAATCACAATTTTTGTCCAACTCATCTGACATAAAATGCATCCAGAGGCGTCATTTGGGGGAAAGCAGACTATGGCAAATGCCCCACTCTAAGAAATTTTAAAAAGTCGTCAATTCTTTGTCCGATGATCATATGCTAAAATCAGTAAATAGTAAATTTTTATTTACTATTTTGTACTCAGAAATCAGATAATATTCTTTTTTAAATACACGTTCACGGTTTATTAAAAGTTGGGAAATACTCGCTCTTGCCCGGTTTATGACAATTATTAATACGCAAACCTTATAAACTTTATTTTTGGTATATTATATATTTCTATGTATGTGATCTTTATAAAACAGTTTTCGTGATATCGATACCATAAAAATTGAGCTCATAATCTATAAAAAAAAAACCATTAAAATCGTTCCTATTTACTTCAAACTATGATACATTATATTTGAAATACAATTTTTTGTTTTTATAAATAAGTTCCGTAAAATATTAAATTTACAAATAATAAAATTATTAGTATTTATTTAATTAGATTTATATTATTATTCCGTTAAACCTATTGATAAGTAACTTATAGCCTATAGAATAAGTAAATAAATTAATGTTTTACTATCTTTAATGTTATTATTTAATTGAGTAAATTGAAACGTTTCATGTTCTTTTATTTATCATCACGACATCATTATTAATTACTAATTCTTACATGTTTTGTTTCAAAAAATATTTTATTGATGGTCCATGGTCCATAAATATTAAATATTTAAATATATAGGTAACTATAATTTTTTAAATATTATGAAGTTGGCAAATTTAATCAAAAGTTGAAATGACGCCCCTGAATGCATCATATTCGGTTCGTACTCAATGTGCCCACGAATTAAAATGTTATTGCTTGATAACTGTTTTCTTATGTTGTGTCCATCACAGTTTCTGATTTTTTGACGTGAAACATCTTATGACATAAGACATGCGGCGTGTCAGACCGGCTGTTGGCGTGGTGATACGCGGCAACGCGCCACCAAGCACTCAGCAGTGATCCCACTCTTCCTCACCATGCTATCAATTTGCGTGCATTAGGCTAAGTTTTCAGCAAAGTGTTGCAAATAAAAATGGTACCTCATACGTATGGGGCCAAACCTATTCGATTAATACATTTTTAGAAAATTCATTCTAAACTAAAATAATTAGGCGGTCAACAGTATTTACCAGCATGCCGGAAAAAATTAATACGTTCCTTTCTTTCCTTTCACGTTCAACGACGCCCGTGACTTCAGAGGTTACACCACGATGCCGCATCAAAAAATGCTGTGACATGTTTACACGTTATTGGCATTACAAACACAATCATATTGATTTATAAATTTTGATTACATTTTGTTATTAGTTTTTACAGTTTATAGATCCTTCGTAAATTTGTTTATTTTAAATACTTATAATAATATTACTCACTAGATAGTTGTAGATACGTAATAAATAATAATTAAACCAAAATCAAAGAACTCACGGTTATTATTATTATTATTATCGTCCATTTAGTGCAAAACGCCAAATAAAATTAATGAAAAAAATCATGTAAACCAGTATAAAATTAGTATTCTACATGATATAATTTGTTATGAATAGTTCTAAATTTGTAGATTTTGAAGTATTAATATCAGGAAAACTAAAACCATCGATTAAATTTAACGTAGAGATGATTGTCTATGGTCTATATGTAAAATAGCCTCAAAAAAATTATTTAAGATCGTCATTAATACAAGAAAAAATGTCCAATTTATCAATTTTATGCACAGGATCTGATTTGGTTGAGAAATGAAGTGAGAAGAACTAACATAAAAACTTGTAATTGTTAAATCCATAAAAAAAATATAATTAAAGAAAAATAAATAATATTATAAAAAAAAAATAATAATATATAATATATACATAGTTATATGGTTATAATTTTTTTTTTAATTGGCGTTAATATTAAAAATTACTTAAATTATTATCTGTATATTTAGAACCAATTTATTAGCATTATAATTGTATTTTATCAATATTTTCCACTAGTTCAAAAAAATTCTTTGCAAAATTATTCTGTGACATTAAACATATACCTATTTATATTTTTTAGTTTAAGTCAGGGGCGTATTTAGAGGGGTGATATGGGTGTTAGAACAACCCCCCTCGATCGTATTTTATGGTATTTCACCAGATTGCAAACTTACAGCGTAATTCGAAGAAACATTGTATACAACTTGTAGATTATACATATACTGTCTTAATATAATCGTTTTCATTTATATAATAATTTATATAAATTCATGGTATTCATTAATGTAATACGGGAAGGGGGAGAACCTCCACTTACCATAAGTCTATTCAATTTTAAAACACCCCCATTAAATGAATCCTGGGTATGCCACTGGTTTATGTAGATTAATTATTACATTTAACCTATATTTTATAATAATATTTTATTTTTTTAATTTATATATAGAAACCAGGATTTTTTTTTTTTTGGTTTCACTTAAAATTTATTTCTTTGAGGTGGAGGGGGCAAACATTGTTTGCTCTAGGGCGGCATCGGTCCTTAATCCAGCACCGTATTTATGAAACATCTGCAGTGCAGTAATAGATCATACCGATCTGGGCGTATATTTTTTTTGACGTTTAAA